CAGCAAGGATATGTGGTTCTGTATTAGTACTGAAGATCTTTCCTTGCTTGGTTGGGGTAGGAAGTTTCTTTGCGAAGCCATGACTGCAGTGAAATGGTGATAATTCCAGATGGGTAGCTGTGCTAGTCTGTAGCGGGAGTCCAATGGCACTCTTTTATTCATCTCCAAAGTGCCACTGAGCTCCTGTTTTGTTCTGGGTAACTGGAATTCTTTATGTCTTGGGCCTGTGAAGGAAAGCATAGCTTTTCTTTCTCTCTGTGTGTGCGTGTTCAGAAACAATCAGATTTTTTCAAAGTTAAAAATATCTAGCAATAACATCCTAAGGTACAATGTCTCCAGACTGCAGCCTGTAAGCACTTGACTCACGTCCTGGAGTTTTGATTATACCACCAAACATTCACATCCTCCAGGAGGGATGAATGCAGGAAACAGGCAAAGACTGATGAATGGCAAAGAAAAAGCCTTTCTCCTTCGATCTCCCGGGGCTTTGCCTCCTGACTTTGTTCCTGGCTCAGGTTGTCAGGGCGATTGTTCTGTTTCAGCTTGGCTAAGAAATGACGGCAGCGCTTCCAATGCTGGCCAAGTAAAAATAACCGCATTTGCTTTCATCTGTGCAGTTTATCACAGTTTGGAGAAGGGGGGTAGGGGTGGGGAAGCAAGTGATGTTCAGTGACTGCATGTACAGTCCAGGCAATTGACGCTTCGATAATGTTACCTCCAGTGGTTCTCTACCACATAGAAAGCACACATTTTGGATACTGCCTAAGTCTCTCCTTTCTTTTCCAGCATCACCTGCAAGGAGGTTATTTCCAGTAAAGCTCACCAATACCCAGAAAAGCCCTTTGTTAAAAAACAAAAAACTGCACCAACACCTTTTTAAAAATCATGTACAATTTATAAAAGTGCTTGCAAAATTATTTTTTTATTGATATCCCGTTTTCTGACCATATGGTACTCAAACCCAGCATGGTGTAGTGGTTGGATGAGAGCCAGGGTGTGGTTAGTGCTAATACATTCTGGTTTACCAAATACCCAATGGGGTGAAGCTGTCAACGCAGCAGTGTATTTGTACAATAGAGTACCCTCGACAGTCCCATCATCTTTGTACTTGATACGCAATACCCATTTGCATCCAACAGTTAGAATGTCAGAACAGGATTTGGGAGAAACAGGTTCGAATCCCCACTCTTCTAGGGAAGCTGGCTGGGTGACCGTGGGCTAGTCACACAGTCTCAGCCTACCTCACAGGGTTAATTGTGAGGATAAATGGAGGCGAGGAGAATAATGTAAACTGCCTTGGGTTCCCACTGGGGAGAGAGGCAGGGTATAAATGAAATAAGTCAATAAAGCCCCTTTATGGCATTTTAAAAATATTTTAAATATATATGGCATTTAAAAAATTAATACAAGAACTTGTGGGCACTCAATGAAATTGCTGAGCAGTCGGGTTAGAACAGATAAGTACTTCTTCACTCAAAGAGTGATTAACACATGGAATTCACTGCCGCAGGAGGTGGGGGAGGCTACAAGCATGGACAGCTTCAAAAGGGAATTAGATGAGCCTATGGAGCAGAGGTCCATCAGTGGCTATTAGCCACAAGGTATAGATAGGGGCTCTCAGTCTGGGGCAAGGGATGCTCTGTATTCTTGG